TCATAGTCTTTTGCACTCCCTTAAACGAACGTAGGTGCCAAACCAAACCAAATGAACAATTATAATACTCAAAGCTTATCCGTAAAATACCTACAACATTTGCACTTGATCAATCCCCGCTAATTATGTAATTATTTTTTTTCCCAACACCAAAAAAAAGTAATAAAAAGTAAATTCTTTTCCACTAATGCAATGTTTTATAAAGGGAAGTAATTGTGTTTTCCTAATTTATCAAAGGGAAGTAAGTGCTAAAGGACTAAATATAAATAATTTTCAGACATAATTAGAATTTTTGTAAAAGATGATATTTTTTGCAATTGTGTTTAATGAACATGCCGACAATTATTACTATCAGTTTGAAAAATGAAAAGTATTTCCTAACACTTTCAGTATTAATTTTTTTAACTCATAAATTTAGACCGTGAGTACTATAATAATCTAACACTTAAATCCATGGAAGTATCCACGACAAACTTATTTTTACATACAGAATTGAGCTTTAAATACTAGATAATGGTGACAGAGAGGTGCGGCCCTAGGTCATCTGGTACAGTGTGGACAACTTGCCTGAAGAGGTCAGTGAGAGATTTGAATTACTGTTTGAAGCAAAAAAAGAAATGGTCACTTGCTGAGATTACGCCATACGTCCAAGACCTGACGGAGTAGGGGGGGGGGGTGGAAGCAGGCGTTGTAACTGAAATAGCAATATTAACAGAGAGTGATATTTCAACGCCAAGGGTAGACAAAGGTACAGAAAATAGTCCAAGTAAAGACAAGCAGTCAGACACCAACGGGTTTCGAACCTACCATTCCACACGGCACCTATCGCCATCGCCTTCCATGCATCAAGTCAGACGTGTAACCGCTTCTACCACTAGGCCCTACAAAAATAAGGCTTTCGTGGCAGACCACTCTCTTGGCTTGAGCAGGTAGACGCGGGACGGCTTTGACCCTTGACCCGAAAGGTCAGACCGCTAGCTTTCATAAACACAACAAGGACCATTATTCGACCATACAAACGACACACACACAAATACCGAGACGATGGCACGTGTAGGGGGGGTGGAAGCAGGCGTTGTAACTGAAATAGCAATATTTTGTTATTCTACTTTTTAGTGCATCATTACATAAAAGCTTGTTATTAAAACGTTTTTTATGAATTTTTTTTTTTCAGTACTTTACATGTTTTATTTACAATAGAGTTACATGACTAAAAACCATTGCGCGCCTACTGAACATCACGTTCAGTAGGCGCGCAATGGTTTTTGAACGCAGCCATTACATGATGGCGCAGCTATTGAAGGTGATGACGCGTGTGGTGTGGTTGGCTAGACATGCCTACTAATTCGGTCCAAATTTTAATTAATTCATAAAAAATTAATTAGGCATCCAATTAAGTCAAATTTAGTTTCAGATTGCATTGTCTTCATGTCTTGACCCACGTGCTAACTTTGAATCGTATCGGTCAAGTAGAACTGTCCGAATTTTCACTCCTGCGTTTCCGTCTAGACTGACGACAGAGGAAGTGAGTTAAATAAAAGCTTGTAAAAAAATTCATAAAAAACGTTTTAATAACAAGCTTTTATGTAATGATGCACTAAAAAGTAGAAAATAAATTATACACTACTATTTAAATTACTATAAAGAAAATCGTGGGTCACTTTAGTATCTATTGGATACCTTTACTAATGTTAAGGAAGACACCCACGCTTTTCTTTATAGTAATTTAAATAGTAGTGTATAATTTATTTTCTACTTTTTAGTGCATCATTACATAAAAGCTTGTTATTAAAACGTTTTTTATGAATTTTTTTTCAGTACTTTACATGTTTTGTTTACAATAGAGTTACATGACTAAAAACCATTGCGCGCCTACTGAACATCACGTTCAGTAGGCGCGCAATGGTTTTTGAACGCAGCCATTACGTGATGGCGCAGCTATTGAAGGTGATGACGCGTGTGGTGTGGTTGGCTAGACATACCTACTAATTCGGTCCAAATTTTTATTAATTCATTAAAAATTAATTAGGCATCAAATTAAATCAAATTTAGTTTCAGATTGCATTGTCTTCATGTCTTGACCCACGTGCCAAGTGTGAATCGTATCGGTCAAGTAGAACTGTCCGAATTTTCACTCCTGCGTTTCCGTCTAGACAGACAGACCGACGAGGAAGTGAGTTAAATAAAAGCTTGTAAAAAAAAAATTCATAAAAAACGTTTTAATAACAAGCTTTTATGTAACAATGCACTAAAAAGTAGAAAATAAATTATAGACTACTATTTAAATAACTATAAAGAAAAGCGTGGGTCACTTTAGTATCTATTGGATACCTTTACTAATGTTAAGGAAGACACCCACGCTTTTCTTTATAGTTATTTAAATAGCAGTCTATAATTTATTTTCTACTTTTTAGTGCATTGTTACATAAAAGCTTGTTATTAAAACGTTTTTTATGAATTTTTTTTTCAGTACTTTACATGTTTTATTTACAATAGAGTTACATGACTAAAAACCATTGCGCGCCTACTGAACATCACGTTCAGTAGGCGCGCAATGGTTTTTGAACGCAGCCATTACGTGATAGCGCAGCTATTGAAGGTGATGACGCGTGTGGTGTGGTTGGCTAGACATGCCTACTAATTCGGTCCAAATTTTAATTAATTCATTAAAAATCAATTAGGCATCCAATTAAGTCAAATTTAGATTAAGATTGCATTGTCTTCATGTCTTGACCCACGTGCCAACTGTGAATCGTATCGGTCAAGTAGAACTGTCCGAATTTTCACTCCTGCGTTTCCGTCTAGACAGACAGACAGAGGAAGTGAGTTAAATAAAAGCTTGTAAAAATGTACATATTTCTGGTCTTACTTTATTTTTAAGAAACTCAAAATAAATGCTTCGTTAAATTTTTAACCCATCCCCCTCACCGACACACAGGGTAGCACGTCATCACAACAGTTTTAACATCTTACAGTTTTAACGACCTCTTACACGCGACAATGTGACATTTAACCGTTTAAAAATAAATTAACGACGCCAACCGTTTTAAAAAAAAATAACGACGCTAACCGTTTTAATTTAATTATTTAAATTTATAACTAAATTAAAATGACGTCATCGAGTTAATAGATCGCATGTGATCTGCCAACAGCAAATAATAGCGAGACTTTGTTCAAGTGTTTGATTGATTTTTACACTGGTGCCGTGATAGGTTCATAGTGGCGTGTCTATGTAGTCGTTTAGTGGGAGGGGGGGGGTAATACAATGTCCTGACAATAAAGAACACAAATTTACTGGCTACAGGGTAGGTTATATAAACATAGATATATTTATGGTAAAAAGCGTTATAAATTTTTCTGTGTAAACATCGTTGTTTCTATTGTGCAACAAACGGAGTTTTGGGGTCAACGAACTTATTGACAGCTAAAATCTGCACCTCTTGTTAGCAGGAAATGCATGCGATTAATCTTTATTTAATGTTAACAAAATAACATCAAGGACAATTATTAACATTTGAGTGTATTTTCCCATCAAATTTATTTTAAATTAATTCGATGGACACGTAAACTTTGTGCAAGCTTTTAGAAGCACTTGATATAAACGCTTTTATTTCATTAAACTGTGTCCAGTGAATGTTTTTAACGAACACTAATTTCAATTAATTTAGGAAGGCATTGGCCTTATCGCACGGCGCTGGTGTTTGTTTGGTTTTTTAACAAATCGCTGTTAGACCTCATAGAGTTTGCGACATTTTAAAATAATTTTTCTTTTAAAAAGTCTATAAATGACATTACGTTTTTTAGACGATTTTTACACCCTTAAGCGTTTATCCATAGATGACGTAATGATTTGTTTTTTGACGATTCTTACCTCCCTTACCACTCACACATTTTCACAAAAGTCAAATCCCCACCCCCTAAATTGATTTCATATCTAAGCCTTCAATTATCACTCAAAATTGCTATTCTACTTTTTTTTAAAACGTCGATTATACATCATACATCGTCACCAAAATAAGAAGTTATTTATGGACGAGCCTTTAGAGGGGTGGCACCATGGCGAAAAATTGCAAAATATATAGAAGAAATGAGCTTCTTGCCAGTTCAGTTAATGATTAATTAGATTAAATCCACCTATATTAATAGCTGACCATAGATAAACATCTTTACTACTAACTGTGCCCACTTTAAAAATTATCACCCCGAGTGCAAGGGGGGGGGGGGAGGGGGGGGGGCTGGAGACTAACACCAACAACAAAGTTTACAGAGGAAAAAAGCTTTTATTGAGTATTTTGAATACATGATAGGTCAATGAAATTCCGGGAAGAAGGTGACACCAAAATCTAATAATTTAGGATGAAAAACATGTTTTTTTCTACGTGAATTAATTGTTGGATTAATGTAAATTACGAACAAATTGTCGCCATTAGGCAAAATGGGAGGGGGTGACACCAATTGCAAATATTTAAATGCCTTTGTAAACCTTATATATATATGTATGATTTTTTCGCGGGGAGTGGAGGGGGGGGGGGCGGAGGTGACACCATAAGGTGCCGCGACGCCCTTGCATCCATACGCATGGAAAACAAACCCATTAACATTCAGCTAAATAAATTAGGCCTACATTTTAAAAAAAAATAAAAGTGTGACTATTTGACCCAAATCCTTACTAGCAAGACCAGATCCCGCCTCCACAGGTACCGAGTTGGACTTTATTTTAATAGTACCCCAAACAGAGCCACTTAACTGTATGGTGTACTTCACTGGTTGTATTTTATTTTTCTTAATTACTTCTTCCCCTTCAAAACCTGCCTGGGTCCCATCTGGGCATATGACAATGTTGGGACTGTTCTCCATCTAAAGCACCATTCTCATGTTTCATGGATAAGTTACCATTATGTAGGGTAAATTCAAAGCCAGATTTCAAATATAAGAAAAAAATTAAAAGCGGGAGTGAACTCACCTAAATTTTCTCGTATTATTTTATGTTATATGAGTCCTTTATTTTTATACTGGCAGTTATACGTAATACACTGCAAAAGCGTGCTACTTTTCAGGAAGGTGTAAAACATCAAATTTTGTCGATGTCTCATTTCTATTTTTTTCCTCAATAACAATATTCCCTATATAATCCATTTAGAAGAATGTAAATAAAAACAACTTTTAATATATTTTAAAATGTTTTAATTAACAACAACTAAAGGATTTATCATCATAACAATACTTTATTTATTTCCACTTTCATGTTTATTTAGATTGATGAATGCCAACAACTGTACAAAGAATTTTTTAAATGAAGAAAAAGGAAATCTTTTTGTTTTTACAAAAGCAGAAAAAATTAACTTTGATTACTGGTAAAAATAGTATATGTATTTACAAAACTTAAAAACCCACATTGTACATGAAAGCAAAATTACAAAACTTTATTAAATTACCAATACTGAATTAAATATAGAGACATTTCGATATGTATTTTAAATTTAAAAGTTGTTGACAATTTGGGTTTTATTTTACAGAAATTAAGCTATTATTATAAAAAAAAAAACAGAGTTCATCAATGTGACCGTAAAAAAATATATTATTATTTGATCGCATATGCTTAATAAATGCTTATTTAACAATAAATTCATTTTAAGTTTCCATAACATTACCTGAATTCAATTTAAAAAATTTTTTTAAGGGAACAACATTACAAGAAAAAAGTGTCTTGAGTTGATATATTTGATCAATGTAAAGATTATTTTAGTTGTGTCCCTTTAGACATGAATTAAACATCCATCGCAAATAAAGTCCACAGCAGGATACAAAACATATCACAGAAAACATTTAATTGGTCAATATATCTTCCTTACAAAATCCAACAATAAAGACAGCAGCAACACTATCAATACTTTATAGTACATTCAATACTGAAGAAAAAAACATTTAAGTAGCAAATTTACAGTAACATCACTTAATGACCATTAATAGTTACAAATTGTGCATTATTTATCATGACTAAAAATACTAGTCTATGTAGTCTCTTTAAGGTTATGAAGTTTAAAGTAATTAAAGTTAAAAATAGGACATAATGCCTAAAACGTAGTCTATGTGATAATTCTTATAAAGTAGTGCCAACAATATTTCAGTTCTATAATAAACAATGGGACATATTATTATAAATATATTCTGTCCAAAAAAGATGCACTTAAGTTACCAATGTATACTACAGCCAGATGACTATTGGCTTTCTATAAACAAGAAATAGATGATGATCTACAACAGTTCTAATAATGCACACCATGAGATAAGACCAAATCACTGTACAGTATTGCATATTTTCAACAACTTTGTTATCATCAGAAAGACAACAGTAAACTTTGTTTAAAGCAATGTGTCATTTTTACTAGTGGTTGCGATTTCAATCAAAAACTTGTTTCACTTTTATCAAAAAGTTAAGAACACAAAAAATACCATCCTAAATAATTAAAAAAAAAATTAATCCTTTAAAATCAATCTATTTTAACTTAAAAAAAAAATTTTCAACTTAAATTTTTTTCAATATTTCTTTAAGATCACAATAGGTCATAAGTGACAGAAATAATAGAGAAAAATTAGCTTAAATTTACTTTGAAAATCCCTAGTAAAATACATGATAAATATGACTGCATTTTTTTATAATTAGTTATAAATTTTAAGAAATTCATAGGCAGGCAGTGATTTTTAAAAATGAATAGATCTATGGCTCTTTAAGATTTCTTGGTAAATAATTAAAAACAAAATTAAAATTTACATTGATTAATAACCCAGTCAGAAAACTGACAAGTGTAAATATTAAATACTGGAATGATAATCTGGCTCAGGCAGAGGAAAAGTCATGGGCCTTGGAATAATCAGGGGAGTGAGGTTTGGCCGTTTGCTTGTTTTTGAACTTTTTTTACTGCTGCTGCTTACGCTTCCGTTTGGAGAGAGTGTAAAGTCTTCAGTGTTTGCCATGCGGGCACCAAACAGCTCAGCTTTTGTGAATGCCCTTTCAGGGGATTTGGTGAAGTTCTGAACTTTTTTCCAGCGTTCTCTCGCTTTTATCTGATTGGCTGTTAGGTTCTGAGAACAGATTTTAGGTCAGAAGCTTTAATAAAACTTATTTACTTGGAAAAGAGAACATTTATGTAAAGTCTTATTTAGAAATTATAAATAGCTTCCCAGATCAAATAGTGTAGACCTAGTGTTCTAGTGTTCTAGAAATAGCTGATGGCCTACTCCATAAATGGAGATATAATCAGTCAATGTATTAACAGTTTGTTTAAATTATGGTTTGTTTTTATCCCCTATAATAATAATATAATAAGCAATAATTTAGTTTTTTTTTTTAATAAACAAAAACTTAAACTCCCCTTTCAGAGTTACCTATCCATAGGGCAGATGAAGTAGATTTCATGTTTCTTGACCCGGCATATGAAGAGATGGCATGGTCAGATTTAGGCCAGGTGCCTTTTTTTCTTTATTTCCCTAACGTCAGTCAGGACCTAGACTTAAGGACATTCTGCAGTCCTAAGTCAGTACTCTGGACCCTAGCATTTGACTGTGCAACCCCAGAGTTTTTTTTTCCATAAAACTAATAATCAAATAGGTTGGTAATTTTCAGAAATTCCATATTAGTTTACTTACTTCATTATTTTGCAGTCCATTGATGGCATTAACTTTCCCATAGATTTGCTTTAGCCGTTCTTTCTCAATCTAAAAAGCAAAAAAACATTAATAAGTTCAAATACTTTTTAAATTCTACTTTTTAAATTCTGATATATCTAGAGGAAAAAGGTGATAGTCTTGTTTTTAAAAAAAAATTAGCTTGTAAAAATAATATCTATGTATGTTCTAGTATATCTAAAATGACAAAATTTACTTCAGGATTTTCTTCTTGTCCACTTTTTCTTTTTCTTGAGACAAGGTGCCATGCTTCTTTTTTTGTAGATCCAAATTTGTCTTGATTTTGGTCCGCGTCAATTTGCTAAAATAAAACCATGGCAACAGAATTGGTCATGATACTTTCTTACTTAGTCAATATATTATACCAATGTTAATCAGAACACTTTTTGCTTTTGTATTTTTAACTAACTAAAAAAAAATAGTTGTTACTGACTGATTATAAGAAACATGGAAAGAATTAATGCTACTCACATCATGATTCACTTTATTGTTCTCTATAGAATAACCTGGAATCTGAACAAAGTTAGGATTTATGTCGCCATAGTAGCTCCCTCCTCTCAGATAAATAAAATGATCCTCATGACTTTCATCAAACTTGTCAAAAGGTCTGCGACTGTCATTGCTGCTTGCACTTCTCTCGCTCTTCTCTGAGCTGCTCCTGGCACTTTTGTTGGATCGTTTGGTTTCAAGTGTTTCATGAAACGCTGGGTTTTTTATCTGATTAAAGTTGGGCTTATGGTCAGTGACAGGAGAGCCGACTTCGTAGGTACTTTGTGTTGAGCCTGATGAGACTAGAGAAATGGTTTCTTTTTTTAATTTACAGCACAAACAATTTTTAAACTGAGAATCATTTTTTTCAATGCTCTGTACTAATTTACTGTAAGTCTTATAATAACTGAATACCTCTTAAAATGTATGTAATTTTAAATATCAACAGTGATCCAATTTAATTTTTTTTTAATACATGAAATATCTTTGTTAAAAATCAATGTAGGCCTGCATAGATTGTTTACATGTTTAGAATCTATAATATATTCATACCTAATACAATATATTTTTATATCTAATTCATTTTAGTTAGATAAAATACCAAAGTAAGTTAAGTTTAATACTTACCATTTTTGCTTTGTGAAGCAGTATTAGAATTTGATTCAGAATATCTGTTAGTCTGAAAATAAAATATTTTGTAAAGTTAAACTTTAAGTTTTGTTGCTTATTTCTATATCATTGACTATATTTTTATAATTCAGTGTTGAGGAAATAGAAAACTTGTATTTAAAATAAATTATTACAAAAACATTGGCTAAACAGTATATATTTGAGAAATAAACAACACAAGTCATAGAAATTCTCGCCTATGCTAAATGAATGTATAGATCAATTATGTGTTTGTCTGTTTTAATTAATAACAATTTACTATTTTCTATTATGTATATTTAAACAAATGCAAATAGAGAAAAAGACAAATACAACAGATGGATAAATATTTTCAAAGTTAAGTTATTGCAAACTCTTACATTGCTTGAACTTTTCTTGTGACTTGAGTCCAAGCTAACAGCATAATATTTCCGCCTTAATGCTTTAACTCCATCTCTTACCTGTTTACAAAAGAGAAGAAAAACGTAATAAAAAATAGAATCAGAAAAAGCACTTTATTAAATAGACTATACAATTCAACAATACAATAATAGCATTGTTAAATTGTTACACTATAACTTTATAGGGATTTATATTATTTATAACTTTACAGTGATTTATATTATTTATATTTCAAACTACCTTATCACATGTTCATTTGAAAAAAATAATGTTTTAAAAACAGAATGGCATTTATGAAATAAATACAATTTCTATTTAATTAATTACAATATCCTTCATTTCTTATATAAAAAAAAAATTTAATAATCTTTGTCTAATAAAAAAAGATAAAGCACCTGGTGTTGCAGAAAACATTGGAAAATGAAGATAAACAGACCCTGAAACATGAAAAGTAAATTATAGAATTTAAACAAATAACTCGCAAGCAACAAAAATTAAAACAAATTTTCTAAATTGTCAATTAACAATAAGAAATGAATTTGAAACTGGCAAAAAGTTAAATATAACAAAAAGATAAATCTCAGATGTTTTATAAAATCAGACCTGCAAAGAGTTAAAAATAGCAAACAGATACTGGAAGACAACAGTCTCCTTGCTAACTGACAGGACCCCAAATATCCATGTTATACCCAGTATAGGGGAGAGAACACATATGGACCGGGCAACAGACCTATAGAAACAACATGTCAATATAAAACATTTATATGCTTTTCTTTATAAGTTAATTCTATCAAATTCCTAGACAAAAAAATTATGATTTTTCAAGTTTTAGAGTGTAAATTAGATAGTTATCAAGACTAATAAATGAACGCTAAATAAATCTACAGTTTTTCTAAATTTTAAACTCAAATCTAGTACATATTTCGTGGAAAGATGTTTTATTATGCTAGGTTTACAAATGGACATTCTTTGGAGTTATTGATTTAAAAAACAAACTAGTAAGGAAAAGAAAAACTCACTTGACTTTCTCTTTTGTTGACTTATCTCTCATGATTTGAGATGTCTGAATGGCTCGGATCACTACAATTAGAATTATCAGGTTTGCCTGGAAGTGGAAATAATGAAACATAAATCACTTAAAAATATTCTATTAATAAAGTTTTGTGTAGTTACTTTTGTAAAAAATTCATAAATCAATCCAAAAATTACTGTTTAAACATAAATGAAAGTATTTCATTTAAATAAAAATAAAAAAAAATAAAAAAACTATGAGTATTATTTTTTTTAAGAATGGTTCAATAGACACAGATTGTAAATGCTCAACAGATACTTACAACAAAAACAAAAAGAACAGGTCCAATAAATGCCCAGATGAGTCCACTATCCACAGATAACCAACAGCTTGTCAAATGAAATAGATTTGTTAGACGTACAAAGTATTGATAACAAACTAATGACAGATAAAAGTAGTTTATAACTTTCAATTGTTTATCTTTCCTAAATCTTTACTAAAAAAAATTAAAATGTTTTTTTCTTATAGTGAACTTCTATCTACATTCTGTTACACTATAAACTAAGACTAAGACAGCCTTTTGAATAACAGCATTTCCAGACTGAAAGCCTCAAATACCTCATTTCATTTCCATATCCTTCAGTTTTAGTAACTCCCAGAGAAATAGCAACTATAACCACAGGAACTCCTGAAACAGACACATGAGCAGGCATAAGTCACTTTAATCAACTACCAGCAGTAAGTTCAATCAATAATTGTAAAAGATTTCAATCAACATTTCAGTAAGTCATTTAAAATCAGCAGCCATAAGTAAGTAAGTCATTTTAATCTTTGTCACATCCCTGATGAGATAGTAATACAAATGAACTATCATTGAATGGTGATGCTATACATAAGAATAGTTTTTAAATGAAAGGCTTATAACAAGGTCTATTTAAAAAAAAAACTCACCATAAGCAACAGCAAGCAAATAGACCAAAATTGATCTTGATGTGAAAACCACAATAACAGATTTCATGATCTCAATGCCCTCCCCAAGCATGATGAAGAACACAGCCAAGAAGAAAAAATGGAGCAGGGCAGCCACAACTGTGCACCCAGCCTTAGAGATGGAAATAAATTATGATAATGACCAGAGGTGAATTGGTTTAGTTTTAGTTATCTTTTATGGTTAACTTTTATATTTTGATGCATTTTTTTACAGATACTTATTCACCATTGTAACTAAATGAAAGCCTAGCTACTTAATATTTTTTTTTTCAATATCAACATTATATTGTGTCAAAAAAAATTATATATATATATATTTATATATATATATATATATATATATATATATATATATATATATATATATATATATATATATATATATATATATATATATATATATATATTGTTAACTCATCAAATTTAATAACTCTTTTGACAAAATTTATGTTTATGAATGCTAAACATAAAAAAAGCAATTTGCGAACTGACAGAGCAGAAAGAAAAATGAACTTACCGGGTCATCTGTTCTGTCTACTCCGGCTAGGAAAATGATGTATCCAGCAATAAGGCACACACAAAGGTTCACATGGAGTACAGACCTATCATTCTTCACATACCTAAAGTTACAGACAGACAGCAAATGTGAGGGAAATATTAACTTTTTATTTATTTTTGTTAATTAATTTTATGAATAGAAAACTTAAAATGGTCTAAAAGCTACATAGTCAGAATATTTTTAAAATTAAAATTGTAAAACATGCAATTATCTGGGCGGCAATTTATGAAATCTTAACAATTGTAACAATATAAAAACACCAAACTTTGACTTACTTCCAAACAACAATGTAGACTATTATAGTGATCACAAGACAAAATAAAGAAATGGCACACCCAATAGCTGATATGATGCTCAATGCAAGGCTGTCTTCACTCTGAAAAGTTATTTTATCAACTTTTATTGAGTATAACTGCTGGGAAAATAATATCACAAAATGAACTACCAGATTAGCATTTCTTTCACTAAAACAAGTTGATGAAAAAAGTCAAACAATGTTTTCAGGCAGAAATATAATAATATAGACTAAAAATAAAGAATCAATCTATTACACATTTGTTTTCTATATACTGTCTAGAGTAGTGTTGAGAAAAAACAACTAAGAAGACAGTATCATACAGCAGCATAAGGAATGAATGGTGTAGAAAATAATAATGAATACAATTTAGAATCTTACAGAGGCATATGGGCTCATGAGTACAGCAAAGTTTGTGAGGTGGTCACAGCTACACACAACATGAGTAGAGGTGACACTTTTCACTTGGCAGCCCCCTGTAGACCAGACCCCCACCTCTGGGTTGCTAGAGGTTAAAATTAGAATTTGATCACATGACTTATTAGTTTACTTTCTTCAAGGTTTAAGTTGGAAGGTAATTAACTTTATTACCTTATGCTCTACACAAACTTTTGTTAAAGTTAAAATATGATCACATTAATTATTAGTCTACTTTCTTCCTGGTTTAAGTTGGAAGCTACATAAATTGACAACCCTATGCTCTACAAACTTTTGTTAAAATTAAAATATTAATTATTAGTCTACTTTCTTCATGGTTTAAGTTGGAAGCTAATTAACTTTACTACCCTATGCTCTACACTCTACACACTTTTGTTAAAATTAGAATATGATCACATGATTTATTAGTTAGTCTATTTTCTTCATAGTTTAAGTTGGAAGCTAAATAAATTTAAAACCCTTTGCTCTACGTACTTTAGGTAGCAGATTAAGTAATTTCTGTGTTGTTGAAAATTTAAGTCAGGACACATAATTTACTAGCTATATTTTCTATAAAGTCAGAAGTTTAATCATTTCTGGGTTGTTGAATGTGTGAAATTAAATAACATATTTTTATCACTTAACACAATTCATAGAATTAGATAACAAAAAAATATATTCATATATATTAAATAAAACAAACATACCTGATAGTAGTGTTGAGGAAGGCACATGAGGGGCTTGTTAAATTATCCTAAAGTATAAAAAAGTTATTTGAATTTTGCATCTAATATTTGTTTTAGCTATTATGTACTTTGGAAAAAAGGTACATCATTAGCAATACATAATTAATTTCAGCCTTACCTGATTGAGAGCCAAGGTCAGTTCAACAGGCTTGCTTATTTTAGTGTTGGGTATTGAGATGGACATAATGTCAGAGTTCATTGTCTTTGACAAGAGTTCAAGTCCTTGACTGTAACTGTAACAAAATATAACATTGTAGTTAGATGAATGACACAAGTTTATAATTATAATAAATATAGAACAATCTGAAATTTCAATTATTATATGTATAATAAATTAGTATTCAGAAATTCATTTACATCCCTGCAACATTTAGTACAATCTAGAAACCTACAATGTTTTATTCTGATTTAAAAGTTTCCATATGTAATTATGTTTTTCAATTTACTTTTTTTGGTTTTCTCTACTTATTTGAATTTTATCAGCAAGTTGCTTGTACACAATCACAGAATAGTTTACTTTATCTGTGGAAAATACAGATCATAAACAACAATATAATTATCACCATAATTTTATAAGAAACGTGGTATAGATTATAATTTTTTTAAAAGTGAATTAACACATTTTCTTTTGAAATATGGACACTCACTAAAAAAATTATTTGTTTTTTTTTAATTTCCATAAGAGTCACAAACCTAAAATGCAATGTAATTTAAATAAATATTTAATTGATACCATTTAGTACTCCCAGCTTTAAAGCAAAATATAAAAAAAAACTAACACCTAGCTCCTGTTACCTTTTAGAGCATCTTTAGGGAGAAATATCTGATTATTCCATTCTAACAAGTCAGAAGTTTGTGGAAAGTTGATTTCCTCTGCTCCAGCATAGAGGGCAATGGCTGTTGTACAAAGAAATCATTCAAATGATTTTAGAACTTTTAAATTAATTTTTCCTATTACAAATTTTAGATATATAAAAATATAAAAAAAAATATAAAAATGCATTTTATAATACTAATACAAAAATATATTATACAATGAAAGATTTTAAATCCATAAAGTCTTCTGTTAAGATATATATCTTTTTCTTACAGAATCTGATTTTCTATCTTACCAACAGAGCTTCTAACAATCGAAATGTTGCTTAAAGTCCTCAGACTTGTTGCTGTAATTCTTTCCAGTGAGTAGAGCAAGACAGCTGTTTGATCAACATTATCATCACGCAGCTCTGACCACACCTGACCCTTTGTTTCCACCATCGCGCTTGATATGTCCACAAACATCTGCAAAAAATACAGTATTTGATGTACTAAATATTCAAATCAGCAAAAAATTAGCAGACAAGTAATTTAATTACCATAACTTCATGTATATTAAATTTCAATAATAATAATAATAATAATAATACAATAAATATTAAAATAAAAAAACTGAGAATAATTTTAATATTCTAAAGGTGTAATAGGGCAATTATATTATTTTAAAATTTAAATAAAAGCATGTCGGATATATAGCTAGAAAATATTTTTTTGTTGTTTTTTTTGAGAATCTGTTAATAGTCCTATAGAGAATAAATGTTTATTGTTTATCAAAAGGTTTATAGTACCTCCAAAGTAGCTTTTGTAACAACAGCACCTGGCTTATTGAGTGCACCTCCAATAGTATTAAATATGCCAAGCACATTTTTGATGTCGCCAGATATGAGGGTTGAGTTAGTTGCCAAACTTGTGTTCAAATTAGCTACAATTAATTCTACTTTATGTGTTATTTCTTCTGCACTTAGACTTGCATTGGCTAATTCTCCTGCCTAAAGACATTACAATAGATAAAAATATTGTAGTATTACTTTTTGTATGAAGTGACAGTCTGTTTATTATAAATTAGTGTGTAAATATTCACAAATGTTTTAAATTAATTGTATACATTTTATTTCATAGAGGTATATATTTTAACTATTTGTATATTCTTGCGTATTATAATTGACCTCCAGCTTAAAAGATAATTAATTTATCTGAATAAATTTAATCACAGTAAGTTTCCTCTAATTTTTATTGGATATTACAGATTTACCATTATAGATGTTGTTTAACTTCAAATAAATATCAAATTATTTAAATAAATTTTAAACCCATTAATAGCTTTAAATTAAAACAGATTTTAAAATTTAGAAAGCTCACCGCAGTGATTGTTTCAGACAGACTGGCCCTTGTACAGTTGCTTAAAACAAATTGTCCCCAAACTGCACCCTGGTTGCAATATCTCCTCACAGAACCTAAACATGGATAGTTGTTCAAGTGTTATTTAAAGCTTTGTCACCTAATAAAATGGGGTTTCTAACTTTTTTACACAAACTTCATTCTTTACAAAATCTAACAACTTTTTAAAATTGAGGTCTGATTCATTAAAATGCGCAGATGGAAAACTGCTCAACTGAAAACTGGGCAAACATAAAAATGCACAAATGATTCTAATACACATTTCATGGAAATATGTTTTATTATGCTACAATGTACATGAAGTCACACTTAGTTAAGGTCTATAAATGCTCGATTAAAGAAAAGAAAAATGCCCCTGTGCAATTTTTTGTGCACTGTTTTCCCGTTACCTCATTCATCATATGAAGATATTTATAATCTGTAGGAGTTTTCATAGTCAGATTAGAACTTTTATGCATTACTCACCAGTGTAATTAGCAGGACAATTAGCAACAAAATCCCTGCCAACAAATGTTTTATTGAATTGAACACCATCTCTGCTTTCAGCTTGACAAGCAGCTACAAGAGTTAAAGATACACATATTGTATTTTTGTAACTTAACAATTTAGTTTTTTGTCTACAGATTAAGAATGTATATTCACTTTGTAAAGTGTTACAAGAGAATAAATATATAGCATTAACAGTTATTTTTATAATATTCTGAAAGGAATAAAATAAATATCTTAATTAGGGTATTGACAACATTTTAAAAATAAAAATGTCATCTTTATGCAACTATAAAAGCTTTGATATTTAAAACAACCGATTAATAAAATAAATACCACTAATGGTAAGACTGAATGTGAGTGAAACACTGAGGTCGATGCTTATCACATTAACTGTGGCATAGATGGTTGTGTCAGATAGATTCGTGTACTTCAACTCTACAGCCAAGAAAACAATCCCAGTGTACTCTGTTATATTTAAGATGGAACTTGGAACTGTGAGAGGGATGTAAAAAAAATAATTTTAAGTTGAATTTTACAAAAAAAAAAAACAATAGGTTTAGTTTCAATATTTTACAATGATATTAAACTTCTAAACATTATATTATAAAATAGTAAATAATACAATTCAGATTATTATATATTCCTATTTCATTAAAATTTTCAATCATTCAAAGACTTTGAGCCGCTGAAACTTTTTTTAAGACAGTTAAGGCCAATAGATGTAAAGTGACCTGTTGAAATCATATAGTTCAAAGATTTGAAGGGTTCAGTTCTGTCAGGATCAGTGCAGTTGATTTCTACTATTGGGGTGAATAAGTTTTCATCTGACAATAATGGGACCAGCACTTTTGGAGGCGTGCAAGTTGGGGCCTCATTCACATCCTCTACAGTCACAACAAATGTTGCCCAAACTGTTAGACTGGTCGAGTGGTCTGTCACCTAAAAACATATAAGTTGGTGAAAAGAAAATAATTTTTTATTCTATTAATTAAAAAATGGTGTAATCAATGTTAATGAATTTCCATACTGAATATATTTTAAAAATATAATTACACAACCACTATATAAATTTTATATTCAAATACTTTTCTAAACTTTAAGGCTTCAAATGAAAACTGAATTTTTCAGTTTAAGATGAGGAACTACTTACCGAAATATTAAACTCATGTATTCCAACATCATCATTTGATAATGTTCTGTTAAGATACACAGACTTTTCATCTTGATTAATCTTGAAGAGATTATGCTGATCACCTGAAATTAATTACTGACCTTTAAATTGCACAACATTCATGGCTTATATTCATGTTTAAATTGTTACATTACCTTCTTAACAATTAGATGAAGATTAGAGAAGTTTTAAGGCTTGTAAAGGTTTTTTAACATAAGTGAAATGATTTAAAAAAATAGATCTAAAAGTTTTTTACCAAAATAACAGTGCAGAAGTTCAGCTTTGCTTGATAAGTAAGCATGATACATAATTGCAACAATGAAACAAAATGTATCCTTTAATTAACTTACCCGTAATTGTAAAAATTAACACAGGATTACTGTTGTCCACTGTCACACTGATATAGAATACAGGTGTTGTAACATTATGATTTTGCAAGATAGTTCTATTCCCACCCATGATAGTAGTTTCATTAGAAACACGGATTAACAAGCTGGTGCTGACTGTCACTCCATTGATGATGACATACACTGAAAACTGTTGGAGAACTGTTTATTTATTTATCTTGTGAAACTTATGCTTTCAAACATTGGTAAAATAACTAAACGATTTGTCTAAATTGATGAAATTACTATTTTTAAAAAAATGAAACACTTGGATTTGTATGAGTTATTTATGAGAGAATAACAATTGTTATTGAAAGAGTATATAAGAATATATTCATTTTGAAAAAAGTCAGTAGGTAAAACAAAAATGTAACTTAAAACTAATGTTTAATGATAGGAAAAGGAAGTATCAGAAAACAACAGATTTTTTTATCTTAGCTTTATTGATATATTTGTAAATATTTATATTAATGATCTATATTTACAAATTTCAGTGTACATTTAAACAATAACATTTTGAAGTTGAGCAATTTTTTTGCTTCTTTTTATGAATCGCTAATTTAAAGTGCAATTAGTAAATGCATTTGATGAATAAAGTAAAATAATAAATAACAGAAGTTAATTTTGTCATCCAATCAAGTTAAGAAACAGAAAAAAAAGAATGGACAGGTAGAGAGCAACTTATAAATTTCCATACAATCCTTGTTAATCAGGAATTGAATCATTACTTACCATGTAATCGTCAGGGCGATATTCCATCTGTGTAAGGTTTAACTGAACATCTGTGCTGTTTGAGTAGACTTCAGAGACTCTAAACACTTGTTTGGGTGATGTTGTGTTAGAATATATCTTTAGAATGCCATTATTGTATGTTCCACAGTGAAGATTAAGTAAAACATTGGTCGATCTTGTCCAATACAATGGTCTTTGTGTGATGTATGTTAGTTCACAGCCTAAAAAAACCAAGTATAATTTTTAAATATTTGCCTTCAAAATCAAAAGCTACAACACAGTGTTTCTACCAGGCATTCCTACCGCCCCCAAGAATGAAATGGAATTTATATAGAAAATATATACTTTTAACAGTGTCTGCCCCTTTCCAACATTATTCAAACTCTTGATGTTTTATTATAAAAATTTCCACCATGTAGGTGTAGAAAAAGAATTTATTATAAAATGAGATTTTGAAGCCGTAATCACATAATTGATAACGTAAGGGCTAGTAATGAAACTTTGGCATCAAGATAGGCATTAAGATACTATATTGGCTAGCAAAATGTAGCACTCAACAGCTAAGGTCAAATTAGTAAATTAAGTACACATCATCATCGTCTTATCCAGTTCATGCCCAAAACACATGGGGGAACATGAAGAAGAGTTCATCTATTGTATACAGGGAGATAGTGTGGTGAGCACTATGCCCAGCTGCCTTTGTTTCCCCTAATGTCAGTCAGGTGTCCATCACAGATGTGGACTCAAGGATTTCCTACAGACTCGAGCCCGGGATATGAGCATGAGACTTGTGGGTTAACAGTTTAGCGCTCTACAGCTAAGACAGGAATTTAAAAAACTATCGATTCTTTCATTTAGCAAACTTAACCAACAATCTTACTATAGTAAGCAGTAGAGAAACAGTTTTTTCAAAATTGTAATAAATTTTGCTTAACAAAACCCAAAAGATGAAATTGTACTTACCAAAAATATACAGTTGGAAGGGGAAATTAAGGCTGAATGTACCATCTGTGACTGTAGCAGTGACTAATGCAGTAGAGATGCCTGATGGTACAGGGCCCACTAGACGAATCTGCCCAGTGCTTGAAATATTCACTGGTAGTGAGGGAGCAACTAAAAAAAAGATTTTGATAATGTTTTACGGTATAAACTGTTGTTAGACAATTTATTCATTGTATAAGTTTTTACCAACTGAATTTAGCGCTAAGTTTACAAATGGGATATTATAAATCTAAATAAATAAACAAATAGAAGTTGTGTTTAACAATTGTTAAATTTTGAATACTTAAATTAGCCAATGTTTATGATAATTAATGTCTCTATAGTTTTATGAGGTACAATGTGCCCAGGACTAAACAAAAACATAATTACAAAAAGTTAATTAGTTGGGACGGGACCACAGCAACATTACCTTCAATAGAGTAATCTAAATTTCTGTATTCATCTGTTGTATCTGGATCAGTGCAGTTCAAGTATCCTATCTCTGTATTGACATCATTGACACTGATGTTGGTGTGGGTCAGGATACAAGATGGAGGCTCATTGACATCTACAATTCTTACTGTCACATTAACGTCAATATATAAGCTGGTGTTTATCTCAATAATCTGCAGATAGAAATAGTGCTACATATAGATTTTCATTGACAGTGGAATTAATAAGTAGGCCTACAGGTAAAACACTATAACTAGATCTCTAAACCCTAAGCTGTATGCTGTTCAGTTTGTTTGCAATTAGTGGACATGTTTCAAATTAATGCATTCATGGTTTCACACACAAAAATAGTTTTCTTCAAAACATCTTTAAAAAAATTCGTTCTTTATAAATTATATCACTTAATATTCTTTAAAACATGTTTTGAAAAAGCCATGCTATAAAAATTATATAAATGAATATTTTAAAAACATGTATTTAAAATAACCATCTTTTATAAATTAATATCATCTGTGAACTAACTAAACAAGAAAAAATAGTGTATAGAATCAACTTTGTGTGTCAAATATTTACATACACGTAAGACCATTGTATAATTTCCAATGTTGTAATAATTAGGATCAACGGCCAATGTGAAAATTCCAGTGGTGGCATTCACATCCAGCAAATAAATCAAGGGAAATTGCGCTAAAAAAAAAATTCACTTCTTAAAAACACAGAAAAAAACTATTTAAAAACTGTAGGCCTGCATGCAATAGGGTTTATTTAGTGAACAAAAGAGTTAAGTTAGCTAACAATAGGTAAAGATGAGATATTCTTGAAGTTGATTATTATGAAATAAAAATGAGCATTTAAGTGACAATAATTTTTTTATAGCATAGATAAATATCCAAAAAAGAATCTGAGTCATAAATCAGAGAGTTGCTTCCCCTGCTCAATATCCTGGTAGTGGACAATGCTGGGATAAATATAAAGTAACAGCACACATAACAATCTTTAGACAGAGAGGCTAGTTAAATGCCATGATAACTACAAAGTAACAGCACACATAACAATCTTTAGACAGAGAGGCTAGTTAAATGCCATGATAACTACAAAGTAACAGCACACATAACAATCTTTAGACAGAGAGGCTAGTTAAATGCCATGATAACTACAAAGTAACAGCACACATAACAATCTTTAGACAGATAGGCTAGTTAAATGTCACGATAACTACAAAGTAACAGCACACATAACAATCTTTAGACAGAGAGGCCAGTTAAATGCCATGATAACTACAAAGTAACAGCACACATAACAATCTTTAGACAGAGAGTCTAGTTAAATGCCATGATAACTACAAAGTAACAGCACACATAACAATCTTTAGACAGAGAGGCTAGTTAAATGCCACGATAACTACAAAGTAACAGCACACATAACAATCTTTAGACAGAGAGTCTAGTTAAATGCCATGATAACTACAAAGTAACAGCACACATAACAATCTTTAGACAGAGAGGCTAGTTAAATGCCACAATAACTACAAAGTAACAGCACACATAACAATCTTTAGACAGAGAGGCCAGTTAAATGCCATGATAACTACAAAGTAACAGCACACATAACAATCTTTAGACAGAGAGTCTAGTTAAATGCCATGATAACTACAAAGTAACAGCACACATAACAATCTTTAGACAGAGAGGCTAGTTAAATGCCACGATAACTACAAAGTAACAGCACACATAACAATCTTTAGACAGAGAGTCTAGTTAAATGCCATGATAACTACAAAGTAACTGCGCACCTAACAAACTTTAGACAGAGAGGCTAGTTAAATGCCACGATAACTACAAAGTAACAGCACACATAACAATCTTTAGACAGAGAGGCTAGTTAAATGCCATGATAACTACAAAGTAACAGCACACATAACAATCTTTAGACAGAGAGGCTAGTTAAATGCCATGATAACTACAAAGTAACAGCACACATAACAATCTTTAGACAGAGAGGCTAGTTAAATGCCACGATAACTACAAAGTAACAGCACACATAACAATCTTTAGACAGAGAGGCCAGTTAAATGCCATGATAACTTCTAAGGGCTAGTTGGCATCCTAGTTTTGTAAAAACTGCTAGTAATGTGTGAAGTCTTATGTAGTGTCTTGTAAAGTCATAAGGTAAAATTATGTCATGTCGTGTTTTGTTTGTATTGTTTTGTTTGTCATAAATTTCATGTCATCAAAAACATTTATCACTTATAAGAAGTTTGTGGGCATGCAGCTGATCATTCACCTTCAACTTCAATTAAATAAAGCGACAGTGAAAAGTTCAACTCCTTGCTGATGTTCCACAACATCTCTCCAACACTGGCATTGGTGTAAACTAAGATGGTTGGGTCATGAATCTGTTGGAAGGGTGAGTCTGGCACTACAATGGTTGTGTTTGTAGTTGAGGGCTCAGATCCATATGTGGCAGTAACCCAACACTGAAAAATACAAGTCTCATTTAAATTTTGAAAGTGATTTATAGAATAAATAAAAAATTCATTCAATCAATCTCAAGCATGAACTCCTCATACATATCAAAAAGATAAAGTAAAGGAAAGTTAAATATAAGAATTATCTCAATCCTTTAAAAATATTGGGCTCTTTCAAAGCTTGCTTATAATATTGAAATTTTTTTTAAATATAAATTTTTAATAAAGAAAAGAATAAATCATTCTTGCCTGAAGAATCTAACTTAGAGTAGATTAAAATATTCAGTTTTAATAGAATTATAATATTTTTGTAAAAATTAGGGTAAATGGATAAAGTTATAAACGAAGTTTCAGGAGTCTGCTACTATTTTAATTCAGTTGATTGCTATATTTTCAGAAAATTGACTTTGATTGCTTCTTTTTTATTTTTCTCTTCCCTGTTAATTCAATAAAAGTATTAACATTTTAAAAATTATTTTAAATTTAGTTGTATCCATGTCAAGTATATCATATTGTTCCTTTTGTACAGTTTTTTTAATATACTCTATTAGATACTTCATAGTCTTTCTTTTTTCTTATTCTTTCTTAATTTTAGTGTTGGTAGGGATCTCCTTCAACACAATTAAGGGTACGTGTCAACTGGTTATGCGCCATTGAGGCCATTGTGTCCGATTTCAGCCTGCTTTTCTTTTTGGATTTGCTACCATAGCCTTTGTCCAACCAAGAACAAACTACAGGCAGCAGTTGTTTCATTTTGGAGTTGTCTCTCCTAGAAGAGTGGTTGTCCCCAACTAACGAGCCTCACCTGCCTGAGGGTTCAAACTCGAGACTTTTCGGATTAGCAACTATGAGCCTTACCGACTCGACCATGCCGACCCCTTACTTCATAGTGAATTAATTGTTTTGTGTGTCTTATCAAACTTAACTGTATTATTAACAGCTGAGTTTACACAAACAGCTGTTAATTGCTGTTTAAAATGTTATTTTTTTTTAGTTTATAAAGAAGCTATCTATATTGGTACAGTGACATATTTAACAAAAAAATTTTGATGGTTTGAACTAAGAACTGACTCACATTGTAGGTCCCTGCTTTATACTGCAGTAAATTGATATCAATGCTGTAATTGTCATTGCCAGATTTCTCAAGCTTTGAAGCATTGAAAACTGTCCCATCACTGAATGTAACACTCTTTATTGCCAGGCTGTCAATGCTATAGTTTTGACAGACCAGATTAATCTTGAAGATATCTGATGGTTTCCACATCAGTGGGATGGTCAGGTCAGTTAACCAGCAATTGGGAGTAGGGGCTGAAGTATAGTACAAAAGTAAAATAAAAGTAAATTTATTTATAAGTATTAATTCTAAAATTTAAATAAAAACTTATGGCAGTAATTAAAGGATGATGCACATAAAGAATTCACAAAACTGAGGTGTAGCATTTTGATAAGCTCTTTCCATTATATATAACTTTCATACATAGCTTTCCATTTACTACCACCCATAATGTATTGTTATATAACATTTCTAGAAACTATCTTCCTTCCTCCCATCCCCCCCTAAAATTAAAAACCTAACTAATTTTAAAAAATTAGATAATACAAATCATATTGTATTTTTAAAAAGCCTCCTTGTTACATCATAATTAGAAATAATTGCAAAATCTTATTTTGAACATATTTTATGTTAAAAAAATAACTGTTAACCTTTTATTGCATCTTTCAAAAACTTTAAACTTTAAAAAAAAAACACTAAGGAAGATTCAATGATGGTGTCATATCTTTATATTCTATACAGCTCCTATCCTATAGGCCTATAACAATTTTACATGATGATAAACCATGCCTCTACACTTTTTAGTATTATACAAAACTAAAATGCAAAACAAATTAAACTGAAAACATAACAAAATATCAATAACATAATACTTAAAAATTAGATGCTCACATATTATTAGTAATTTCTCGGCCTAAATGGTATAAAAACCTCTTCTACATTGCATTATTCACACAAAAAATCTTAATTGATAAATCTTTTTGTACACGTATTTAAAAGTGACAAACTGGTTAAGTTAAATTAACCATGACAAACCTGTTAAGTTAAAGCTGACAGGAACTTGTGCTGAAAAAGTTGTGATAGTGCTTCCACTGGCGTCTGTGATTTTGCCAACAGTGGTGATTGTAAAGTTATACAAGCCGATGGCTAAACTGGTTAGTGGTTTGATGACATAGATACTTCCAGTGCTGGAAACCTCAAAGTAGGCTGAAATATATGGGGAAATAAGAATAATTTGGAGAGGTTATTTTTAGCTGCCTTAAAGACAGGGTAGCTGAAATTATATTTTTGGTTGTTAATTTGTAGGCCAAACTATAATAAGAATGAAAATAAAACAACAGAGGTTACTAAGAAGCTACAACTGCATTATTTAAAAAAAAAAACATAACTTTTCAACACTTAACTCCAATAAACAGTTCTTATTATATTTAGTTTTGTGTGTAACTTAGAATGAATGTGATTAAAATATTTTTTGTGTAGTAGGACTATTACCACTGTTACCTCCCTTTATTATCTAACAAGTGTAAAAAAAAAACAACTTCTATGGCAGATTAGTGGACCCCTCAGAGGAAATAAAAAACTTGCTCAAACCTTTCATGTTGCTGGATACATTATAATTGGTATCACTTAGATAAACTCCAACTTCAGGCTCCGTACAGTTCAGTGTTGTTATAATCCCATTGGCCAGCATGTCCAGGTGGTCAATAGAGAGAGCTCTAGGGCACACAGGCGGGTAGATGACCTCAAATTTCACTTCCGCTTGAGCACTGGCATTTTGTCCATCCACCGCCTGTTGACAGTAATCAATACAAAGTAACTAAGGGGTCATCCATAAATGACGTCACGCTTTTTTGGACGATTTTTAGCTCCCCCCTCCCCTCCGTCACACATCGTCACAAAAAGCCAGACACCCCCCCCCCCTTTAAAATGACGACACACCTCAGCCTACAACCCCCCCCCCCCCCCTCAAAATTGCAGTTGAATTTTTCTTAAAACATCGATATTTTCCCAAAATCTTGTCTGAAGTCTGTCAAAATAGTCTTTTAATCAATCCAATGTTTCAAGAGAATCTACTTACAGATCCAATTGTTACAGAGAATCTACTTACAGATCCAATGGTTAAAGATAATCTACTTACAAATCCAACAGCTAAAGAGAATGTACTTACAGTGAGTTGAAATGTCTCGTTCTCTGATGGAGCATTGAGGAAAGAAAAATATCCAAAGGAGTCAGAAGAATTGTTATTTGAAAAAAATATTTTTGATGATCCACTGTTACCTGAAATGAGATATAGATCTAGTATTATTTAAATTGGTATCGCCGATGTCTGAAAAAAAAAACCCTTCCAAAAATAGGTGTGGCCAGTGGCGTAGCGAGGTCGGGTGTCACCCGGTGCATCCCTTAATGGTGTCACACCCAGAGGCGTAGCGACAAAATTTCAATTTTCGATTTGCACCCCCCCCCCCTCAAAATTTCGATTTGCACCCCCCCCCCACCTCAAACTTTCGATTTGCACCCCCCCCCCCAAACTTTCGATTTTGTAAGTGGAATTATCATTTTTCTCTATATATTTTGCTATTTTTATCTTGGTGTCACCCCCCTAAATTGTGTCACCCTGTGCGGTCCGCACCCCCGCCCCCCTCGCTACGCCCCTGGGTGTGGCAGATTGTTGGTGGTATTGTAATCTTATGTTAAGTTTTATAGTCAGAAATTAGGGTTAGGGCTATGATAGAACTTGGGTTAGGGCTATGGTAGAACTTGGGTTAGGGCTATGGTAGAACTTGGGTTAGGGCTATGGTAGAACTTGGGTTAGGGCTATGGTAGAACTTGGGTTAGGGCTATGGTAGAACTTGGGTTAGGGCTATGGTAGAACTTGGGTTAGGGCTATGGTAGAACTTGGGTTAGGGCTATGATAGAACTTGGGTTAGGGCTATGGTAAGACTTGGGTTATTGCTATGGGATCAGCCGTTATGGTTTGTTGTCTTTCAGTATCAATGTTAGTGTTAGTCAGGATTAGAGTAAGGGTAAGTTCAGGGCCATAGCTACTTAAGGTTGGAGTTAGGTTTAGCGCCATGGGTAGGATTGGATTGACGATACAAATACATTGATTCGATACGTATTATCAGTATTTTTATTAAGTCCCTGAGAAGTCGAAGACTTGCCTCTCTATATCATCGATATTGTGTGTGATTTGCCAACTTGAAATGACTATTGGTGTTTTGTGTAGTGTACTTACTTCTAACGACAGAAAATGCTGTGTGTGAGTGAGCAGTCTACTTACTTCTAACAACAGATAATGTTGTGTGTGAGTGGGCAGTCTAGTTGTAACGACAGATAATGTTGTGTGTGAGTGAGCGGTCTACTTACTTCTGACAACATATAATGTTGTGTGTGAGTGGGCAGTCTAGTTGTAACGACAGATAATGTTGTGTGTGAGTGGGCAGTCTAGTTGTAACGACAGATAATGTTGTGTGTGAGTGAGCGGTCTACTTACTTCTGACAACATATAATGTTGTGTGTGAGTGGGCAGTCTAGTTGTAACGACAGATAATGTTGTGTGTGAGTGGGCAGTCTAGTTGTAACGACAGATAATGTTGTGTGTGAGTGAGCAGTCTAGTTGTAACGACAGATAATGTTGTGTGTGAGTGAGCAGTCTACTTACTTCTAACAACATATAATGTTGTGTGTGAGTGAGCGGTCTACTTACTTCTGACAACATATAATGTTGTGTGTGAGTGGGCAGTCTAGTTGTAACGACAGATAATGTTGTGTGTGAGTGGGCAGTCTAGTTGTAACAACATATAATGTTGTGTGTGAGTGAGCAGTCTACTTACTTCTGACAACAGATAATGTTAGTGAACTGACTCCAAGTTTTGAGTTTTTATCCGGGTCAATGACCTCAATACAGGGACTGTTTAGACACGTGACAGTTGATGATTTGTTAACATATACCAACACGCTCTTGTAGCTGCTGATGGCTACTGTGTACATGTCACTGTTAAACCGAGGAGGTGTGTTGTTGAACTGGATGTCCAGCGTCAAGGTGAAGGTGAAATCAAACGAGGCTTTTGGGTTTGTTATGTTGTACACAACCTGCAAATGTAAAGGGCGATAATCCAGAGAGTAATTGCTATACACAGTTGTTTCTAAATCTTTTAAAAAAAGGAAATTACGGTTATTTTCAAGAAAAATAAAATAAAAATCTCCTTACAATGACAACATAACTGACTCGAGTTCATAGCGCGATTAAACAACAATCGATAACTATCGAATCTCTAAAAGCAATAAAGCAGAGGAAGCAGAGTTGTCCTGATCCTTTCCTTTCAGCATTTGAAGAATTAATGTGGTCAGTTCTAGGCCCTACCGATTTTATTTTCTCCGATTTTAGTTGGGTACCTATCCGAGCTGGGTAGACTCAGAGACGTGCTAAGAATTCAAGAGCGAGAATTCTTGACCTTGACACTTTCAGGTCAGTGACCTTTCGCTTGACCCCACCGTCCCATGAAGGTCCTAAATACAACTCACCTCATTTATTCCAGGTAGAGAATCAGGCGTTAAGCAAAGCTGACGATCCAAGTGAGAACCGTTAACTGCCACAGCCAAGTTGGTGGCGGGGTCTACGTGCTTCCAGTTCAGCAGAGTAGCCGAGTAGTCACCAGAACTGTTCCACGCAGGCCCGGCTATGGTGCAGTTGATGGGGGTCGATGACGTGAAGCACACGTCATCAAGGCCGTGGTACAGAACATGTATCGTCAGTTGGTCTACCCCACAGTACACACCGTTGTTGCCTGCGTAGAACAGGATAACATATGTAGCACTATTACACCGTGTATTTCTCTAAGCCAGGGGTTCCCAACCCCGTGCCCGCGGGCGCCATGGCGCCCGCCGGACGATTCGTATGTGTCCGCCTCTCACTATTTGACAGAGACAGAATTTTTTTTCATAAACATTATTGAAAGGTTGAAGGGGATGGAAATCGAAAGTTTGAAGGGGGGGGGGGTGCAAATCGAAAGTTTTGTCCCCGGGTGACGGGAAGGGTCGCTACGCCTCTGGAAGGAGTTTGTCGATTTAAAATAGGTGGTGCCCGCCACCCTACCGATATTTTAGAATGTGCTCTAGAGTAAAAAAAGGTTGGGAACCCCTGCTCTAAGCATTACTATATGGACTAAATTTACTAAATAACTACATTTTTTTAAAATGCACATACTATTTTTAATTTAGAAATAGGTTGGGGAGTGTAAAAGCTATCTGTTTCTAACATAACTTTTAATTTAACACATACATTAGCGTTTTTAACATATTGTGTTGCCCTTAAACCATACATAGCGACCATGCATTAGTATTAGGCCTATGCAAGAATTGATTAAAAAAAACTTCACCCCGCCCCCCCCCCCCTCCTCCGCCCCTTCACATATGAGCAAAACTCCAACGTGTGAAAGTTGTCAGAGAAAATAAAGCTAGCTCCGAGGTTAGCTTTCAATTACTTGTGTCAAGGTAAATTGCGTTAATTTGATCTCCGTATCTCTAAGTCACTGTTTGCCAAAACATACGTAGCCTTATGATTCAATGTTAGGACCGGCGTCTTGTAAACTAATCGACGCGTATAATTTCATTTAATTTTGGGAAACACATAGAGTAAAAATAATGTAATATTTAATTTTACAGCTTATTGTTGCAGTAACAATAGTAATCAAGTAGCTCTCTATAGACTGTTGATAACAAATTAAAAATACGTCACACACTTGATATAGTAAACTATGCTGATGGTGCGTGCGGGAGGGGGGGGGGGTGGGGGTGGGGGTGGGGGTGGGTGGAGGAGGGGGTTAGTTAATGGAGTAGTACTATAAGGAGAGTTTCTTCCAGGCTCCGCCCTCCCCCCCCCCCGAAGAAAGTCTACTGATCCCCCGTCCCCCCCCCCCGTCCCCCCGAAAATTTCAAGTGCCCCCCCGGAGAAAAAAGTCTGGAAGAAACAATGACTATAGGACGACGATTTAGTTTTGTGTTTAAAAAAGGGCTTCACTCAAATAGGACGGGGCTGATTAATGGCATCAATTGCAAAAAAAAAAAAAAGCTGTGTTAGTTGATATATTTTTATCTGTTGAAAGGGTTACAGTTTCAGGGAAAGAATTAAAATTGTCAAGCTAACAGGTTGTGGTCTTGTTTTTTTTTGTTTCGTTTACTTTCTTTGTGTTTATTGAGAGTATAAGTATATTATATGGTCCAATTTTGCTTTTAAACATTTTGTAACAATTAAAAAAAAAACATGGCAAGCTATAAAACAGGCGATATAAACACACGACCTACTTTGTGAGCAGGTATGTCCCTGGTATCCGGGTCTACAGTTACACGTGAACCCTAGCGTCTCATCATGGCACTGACCTCCGTGTCCACACACGTCAGGCTGCGTCACACACTCGTCAACAGGCTCTGAAATACGTCACGTGTGTTGTATGACGTTGAATTTGATTTAAATCTCCCGCTACACATCGGATACCCTACGCCTGAATTCCAGCCAACTTTTTACTGAATATTTTGGTATTCTATTCATTTCGTCTCGCCATTCAATTATTTACTAAACTAGACTAATCTTAATTATATTAATTCTTTCAAAGTGTACAACTTTAACCTACATTTCCACTATTGCAGTTTACACATTTAATATTTTTTATTTGTTTCCCAGCTCCTAAAATTTAATGTTTTTATGAAACTAGCCAATGTAAAAAATCGTGTTTCATTTACCACTCTGATGGACAGATGAGCAGCTGGCGTTCTGCACTTGTCCCCCCGCAGTTATCATCACTGAGAAGTTCAGTGTCTCAACCCTTAGGAATCCTACGTCAAAACTCACCGCATAGCCGAGGTTCCAATTAAATATCTCGAACTAGAGAATATTAAAACAAAAATCAATGTAGTATTTTAGTAATTTTTCATCGATAAGGAACAAAAACACACAAGATAAATGAATACAGATATATACAATTTTAAATTTAAAAAAAAAAAATTCGATGCTTACGGAAGACCCCTTGACTGAATATGTATTTGATTTTGTGTATGTGCAGCCATTTGCTGTGATATTGCATTGTATCATTTCTGTATCATTCAAGTACAAGGTAATTCCAGTGGAGATTGACATCACGTCCCAGTACATCTCAGCAATCACCGTCGTTTGATTAGCCATACCCAAAGGCTGACAGAACAAGGCTGTCACAAAATAGACAAACATACATACAGTGAGCTACTCCATGCATGGCATAACGTTAGAAGTCAGTATAGTACATACTTCATAGTTCTCAGTACACACATGTAATCTACAAAATATAACAGTAATACATGACACTATATTAGTAGAAATGGATGTTGCATGCAATCAATTGATTAAATAAGTGTATTAGTCTATAATACAACATCGGAACTATAATACAAAGTTTAAAATTAGATTTGAATAGATATGGGGACACACACACACATACATATATATATATATATATATATATATATATATATATATATATATATATATATATATATATACATATGTGTGTGTATATATGTATATATATTATATATATATATATATATATATATATATATATATATATATATATATATATATATATATATATATATATATATATATATATAATGCAAGTGTGTTTTAAATTACTACTTTCACATATTAAAAACTACTTCGATTAATTTAATCATAATGTATAGTAAGCTGAAATCCTGTGAGATTTAAACATAATCTATACCCTACCATTATCAGGTTACTCATTCAGATGTCGCAGTGTAATAAAAATGGTTTCAAAATGTATGAAGCAAAGACAAATTGTAATCTATGCTCTATTGACAACATAACCATCAGGGGTCACTGTGGCCAGGCAGGTCAAGCGAATGTTTTCAGTGAATTCGTCTCAGGCTGTTGTTTGTTTTAAGCATTGTAATATTTTGTTCACGTGAAACTGGTATCAAACTATTCATGCGTTGGTGAAGGGCAGTCTGGGTAGATCATTTGATAATACAATGACAGTGCCACTGTAAGCACTGCTCTGGTATGTAATGTTGCTCATACCCATACCCATACCCATACCCACACCCACACCCACACCCACACCCACACCCATACCAATACCCATACCCATACCCATACCCATACCCATACCCATACCCATACCCATGCCCATGCACATGCCCATGCCCATACCCATACCCATACCCATACCCACACCCACACCCATACCAATACCCATACCCATACCCATACCAATACCCATACCCATACCCATGCCCATGCCCATGCCCATGCCCATGCCCATACCCATACCCATACCCATACCCATACCCCTAACCCATACCCATACCCATACCCATACCCATACCCATACCCATACCCATACCCATACTCATACCCATACCCATACCCATACCCGTACCCGTACACATACCCATACCCATACCCATACCCCTAACCCATACCCATACCCATACCCATACCCATACCCATACCCATACATATATATATATATATATATATATATATATATATATATATATATATAAGATTAGCTTTTTACATATCTACATGTCAATTGCAAAAAAAAACTTGACTCCGTATATCCACATCAACCTACATTATACTTTTTCTTATATATCATAAATATGTTACACCGGTGACAGGACAAATGATCTCATACCAAATAGCCGAAACAAAAAGGCTTAAGGACAAAATATCCCAGGACAATATATTCCAGGACAAAATATCCCATAACAAAATATCCCATGACAAAATATCCCAGGACAAAATATCCCTAGGACAAAATATCCCAGGACAAAATATCCCATAACAAAATATCCCAGGACAAAATATCCCAGGACAAAATATCCCAGGACAAAATATCCCTAGGACAAAATATCCCAGAACAAAATATCCCAGGACAAAATATCCCAGGACAAAATATCCCAGGACAAAATATCCCAGGACAAAATATCCCATAACAAAATATCCCATTACAAAATATCCCATAACAAAATATCCCATAACAAAATATCCCAGAACAAAATATATCAAAGAGAAAAAACCGCATCATGTAAAATAATATAAATAACAAATACTGTCTTGGATAGTTAAATAGTTATCTAGATCCCAGGATATTGATTAGGTAACACATGTTTATTTGATTGACAGCAAGTCAATGTCAATTATATTTCTTGTGTGCATGCAAGCCAAGCAGTATTAATGGTGATTACCCAACCAAGGCCATATACAAATTTTTTTACCATGATTTTACACTGATGGCCAAATCATTAAAAAAATATTTCATTCATGTGTATTAAATATTAATTTGCTATTATTAACTTTCATCAATTTAAGTATTTTAAATTTTTAATGTAAAATTAGACTTTTAAGAAAAATGTTTATATTTTTAAAGTAAAGTGTTATTAGAATTAAATTAGTCATATGTTATTTAATTTAGTTTAATTAATTATGAAAATCAGCATGCAAGATATGTTAATTTGAATGATTCAATTGACTAATATCTTTAAAAATACTGTAAGTTATTCACAGTCGGGTATTTAGTCTGCGATAATTTGTCTGTGATATCGTTTGTCCTGATACATTTGTCCTGAGAAATTTGCGATATTTTGTCATGGATATTTTATCTGCGGTCATTTGTCATGGATATTTTATCTGCGATCATTTGTCATGGATATTTTATCTGCGATCATTTGTCATGATAAGATTTGTTTCGAGAGAATGTCTCATGAAACCATTATAACCCTGAGGTAAATGTAATGGTAGTGATTCATGCGAAGCTCTGTGCCGTAGGTTCCTAAGCGGATTATATTCTTACACCAAAAGCTGAAGGCTAAACTAAAACACGACCAAAACTATCTTTTAAATGATGTGTGTTTTGTGAAGTTCAGCCCGCATTCCCCAACCATTTTGTCGCAATAGATTAGTAGTGAGTATAGGGATACAGGGTGCTGTATGTTAATAGGGGGTTGGTTAGTTGAGGGGTGGCAAGCGTCTATTAAGAAAGTGGGATGACGTACCAGCAGTATACGCTACTGGCGGAAAGCTATTCGTAGGCTCTGCGCTCCGGGGAGTCTCCGGTTGCGGTGAGGTCAAGGTCAAAGTTGAGATAGATGAGGGTGCGGGTGTTGAGTTAGGTTGTGTTGTGAGTAAAGTTGTCGAGGGTTGGTTGGGGTATACCAGAGTTGATGGTGTAGATGTTGTAGTAGTTGGATTTGATTTTATAGATGTTGTAGTTAAAGCTGTTGTAGTTGTAGTTGATTTTGCAGTTGTTTTTGTTTCAGTTGTTGTAGTTAGAGTTGTTTTAGTTGATGTTGTTGTTGCTTTAGTTGATGTTGTAGTTGTTTGAATTGTTGTTGTTGGGATCGATGATGTAGCTTTTGGAGTTGACGTTGTAGTTTTTAATGATGTAGTTGTTGGAACAGATGTAGTATTTATAAGAGCCTTGGTACTTGGAGTTGACGTTGTAGTTGTTGATGATGATGTTGGGGTTGCTGTAGTTGATGTAGCAGTAGTTGGAGCTAATATTGTAGCTTTTTGAGTAGTAGTTGTTGGTGTTGAATTTAATGGAGTTGGAGTTGTGGCTAAAGGCGTTGTTGGAGCTGTAGTTGTTGTATTTGATTTTATAGTAGGTGCAATTGTTGATGCAGTTGTTGGAATTAAATATGTTGGAATTGATGTTGTACTTTTTGGAGTTGTGGGTGTTGCAGATTTAGTTATTGGAGTTGTTGATCTAGTTGTGGTAGTTTCATCATCTGATTTAGTTGATGTTCTAGTTGGTGGAGTTGGCGTTCTAGCTGTTGATGTTGTAGCTGTTCGATTTGTAGGAGCTAGAGTTGTTAATGTAGAAATTGGAAGAGATATTGCTGTAGTTCGGGTTGTAGATGTTGGAATTGATATTGTAGTATTTGTAGTTGCTGTTGTTCTAATTGTTGTATTTGATGTTGTAGTTCTTTGAGTTGTAGTAGTTTGAGTTCTCATTGTTGAAGTTTCATTTGTTTTAGACGATGTTGTTGTAGCTGTTGTTGTAATTTTTGTTGGGGTTGTATTTGTTTGAATTGACGTTATAGTCGTTGTTGGGATTGGTGCTGTAGTTGTCGATCCTGTAGTTATTGTGGTTGATGACGCAATTGTTGGATTTAATTTTGTAGTTGCTGATGTTGCTAGTGTTGTAAATGTTTGAGCTGGTGTTGTAATGTGTGGCAAAGTCTTGGGGTCTACAGACGTCATCGACAGTGTGGTATTTGGTACTTGTGTGAACGAAGGGACCGATAACTCTGTTGTTCTTAACACGGAAGTTATGCCTCCATTTTCTGTATTGAATTCAGCTGTTGTTTGTGATGAAAACATCTCAGTATTTACATTAGAACTTGGTGTTTCTGTTGTACTTTCTGACACTGTTTCAAATGAATTTGGCGTGTCTGTTGCACATTGTGGATCTATCTCCGATGTATCTATGTAATATATTAGCGTGTCAATATCTGTTGCACATTGTGGATCTATCTCCGATGTATCTATGTAATCTATATTCAAAGTATTTTGTGGAGTTATTTCTGTAGTACTAAGTAGATACAATTCTGTAGTACTCATGTACCTTGAATCCATGAAATACGGATCAAGTTCGGGAGTGCTGAACAAATCTATTGCTAGTGAGTTAGGTAAATCTATATTATCGGACGAATCTGTTAGAGACGTGCTTAGATCATCTACTGTTGTTTGTGAATCTGTTTCTAAAAGCTCTAGTGTATATGAGTTATTTAATAGTGCTGTGTCTTCTGTTGAAATGTGCACTGTTACTGATGATTCGAATGCTAAAGTTAGAGTCCAGCTTGCAGAGTTGTGAGTTGGATTCTGCTGTGTCATTGTTGGGGATATCAAGTCTGGTGAAACTACGGCGGATACATCTAGAAATGGTGATGGTGGTTGTACTGGTTTGGTGGTTGAAAGTTCTAGAACTGAGGTAACGGATGAAGATGCTGACTGTACGAGGTTCAATGTTAACAGTGGTTCTGGTGATGGTGGGGATGTTAACATTTCTGGTGGGTTCATTGCTGTCAGCGATTGTGGTGATGATGGTGTGGATGGTGACGCTACTGTCTGGCTAGGGGAAAGTTGTTGTGATAGTTGTGGTGTTTCTGTTGGTAATTGTGGTGTTTCTGTTGCTAGTTGTTGTGTTTCTGTTGGTAATTGTGGTGTTTCTGTTGCTAGTTGTGTTTCTGTTGCTAGTTGTGGTGTTTCTGTTGGTAATTGTGGTGTTTCTGTTGCTTGTTGTGTTTCTGTTGCTAGTTGTGTTTCTGTTGCTAGTAGTGGTGTTCCTGTTGCTAGTCGTGTTTCTGTTGCTAGTTGTGATGTTTCTGTTGGTAGTTGTGGTGGTTCTGTTGTTATGTGAGATGTAATTATAGGCAGTTGTTGTGTTTCTGTTTGTAATTTTATGGTATCTTGTGAGTCAATTGATATTGGTTTTGATGTCAGTTGTATTGGAGTCACCTCAAGGGATGACGACGATAGGATATTATTTTTGTCAGGTGGTTTTATTTGTGGTGGTGTCATTGTACTTGACGAAGCACTTTGTAATGATGTTTCCGATATTGCGAACAATGATTGAACTATCGCGACTACTGACGTAAATGAATATGTTGGTGTATCTAACATGGGAAGCATAAAAGTTGGTGAAGATAGCGTAAAAGAGACTGATGGTTCTGAAGGACTTAAAACATTTTCTGTGTTTGATGCCGTTTCTGCTGATGTTTGTGAAAGACTAGGTAGGTTTGCACTATAGAAAAGATTGGTTTCTCCTGAATTAGCTACAACACCTGCAATAAAGAGACTCAAAGTTGCCAGAAGGTTTATAAATAGATGTTACAAATGTGCTTTTTATACCTGCAGCTGGTACGAAATATATCTTATACTGCTATAAACTTCTCAGTACTTTTCATAACAGGAGTGTGACTATATTAAGTATTATTCTATTTAACTATGTGCGGTCGACTGATTTCTCGACTTACCCACAGCGGGTGTGAAGGAAGGGGTAGGGTAGATTGAAGAGGTGTCTGTGAACGGGATAGTCGTATCAATTACGTCCCCTTCAGTCTGCCCGATGTATGTTGCTTGAAAAAAGGTAAAAATATAGCAGTTAACTTTAATTCGTTTAAATAAAGTAAAAATATAGAGATACATTTTAAATTACTTGAAAAGAAGTAAAGATATCGAAGTTACTTTGAAAATAATTGACATTTCATTTTTTAAATATCTTCTGACGTTGTGTGTAGGGCGAGCTGTAAACACAGACTTACTGGCATTGGATACTGGGACCATGACAACAAGATGTACACACAGACTTACTGGCATTGGATACTGGGACCATGACAACAAGATGTACACACAGACTTACTGGCATTGGATACTGGGACCATGACAACAAGATGTACATATACTGGGACCATGACAACAAGATGTACACACAGACTTACTGGCATTGGATACTGGGACCATGACAACAAGATGTACACACAGACTTACTGGCATTGGATACTGGGACCATGACAACAAGATGTACACACAGACTTACTGGCATTGGATACTGGGACCATGACAACAAGATGTACACACAGACTTACTGGCATTGGATACTAGGACCATGACAACAAGATGTACACACAGACTTACTGGCATTGGATACTGGGACCATGACAACAAGATGTACACACAGACTTACTGGCATTGGATACTGGGACCATGACAACAAGATGTACACACAGACTTACTGGCATTGGATACTGGGACCATGAGACAACAAGATGTACACACAGACTTACTAGCATTGGATACTGGGACCATGACAACAAGATGTACACACAGACTTACTGGCATTGGATACTGGGACCATGACAACAAGATGTACACACAGACTTACTGGCATTGGATACTGGGACCATGACAACAAGATGTACACACAGACCTACTGGCATTGGATACTGGGACCATGACAACAAGATGTACACACAGACTTACTGGCATTGGATACTGGGACCATGACAACAAGATGTACACACAGACTTACTGGGACCATGACAACAAGATGTACACACAGACTTACTGGCATTGGATACTGGGACCATGACAACAAGATGTACACACAGACTTACTGGCATTGGATACTGGGACCATGAGACAACAAGATGTACACACAGACTTACTGGCATTGGATACTGGGGCCATGACAACAAGATGTACACACAGACTTACTGGGACCATGACAACAAGATGTACACACAGACTTACTGGCATTGGATACTGGGGCCATGACAACAAGATGTACACACAGACTTACTGGGACCATGACAACAAGATGTACACACAGACCTACTGGGACCATGACAACAAGATGTACACACAGACTTACTGGCATTGGATACTGGGACCATGACAACAAGATGTACACACAGACTTACTGGCATTGGATACTGGGACCATGAGACAACAAGATGTACACACAGACTTACTGGCATTGGATACTGGGACCATGACAACAAGATGTACACACAGACTTACTGGCATTGGATACTGGGACCATGACAACAAGATGTACACACAGACTTACTGGCATTGGATACTGGGACCATGACAACAAGATGTACACACAGACTTACTGGCATTGGATACTGGGACCATGACAACAAGATGTACACACAGACTTACTGGCATTGGATACTGGGACCATGACAACAAGATGTACACACAGACTTACTGGCATTGGATACTGGGACCATGACAACAAGATGTACACACAGACTTACTGGCATTGGATACTGGGACCATGACAACAAGATGTACACACAGACTTACTGGCATTGGATACTGGGACCATGACAACAAGATGTACACACAGACTTACTGGCATTGGATACTGGGACCATGACAACAAGATGTACACACAGACTTACTAGCATTGGATACTGGGACCATGAGACAACAAGATGTACACACAGACTTACTGGCATTGGATACTAGGACCATGACAACAAGATGTACACACAGACTTACTGGCATTGGATACTGGGACCATGACAACAAGATGTACACACAGACTTACTGGCATTGGATACTGGGACCATGACAACAAGATGTACACACAGACTAACTGGCATTGGATACTGGGACCATGACAACAAGATGTACACAAAGACTTACTAGCATTGGATACTGGGACCATGAGACAACAAGATGTACACACAGACTTACTGGCATTGGATACTGGGACCATGAGACAACAAGATGTACACACAGACTTACTGGCATTGGATACTGGGACCATGACAACAAGATGTACACACAGACTTACTGGCATTGGATACTGGGACCATGACAACAAGATGTACACACAGACTTACTGGCATTGGATACTGGGACCATGAGACAACAAGATGTACACACAGACTTACTGGCATTGGATACTGGGACCATGACAACAAGATGTACACACAGACTTACTGGCATTGGATACTGGGACCATGACAACAAGATGTACACACAGACTTACTGGCATTGGATACTGGGACCATGACAACAAGATGTACACACAGACTTACTGGCATTGGATACTAGGACCATGACAACAAGATGTACACACAGACTTACTGGCATTGGATACTGGGACCATGACAACAAGATGTACACACAGACTTACTGGCATTGGATACTGGGACCATGACAACAAGATGTACACACAGACTTACTGGCATTGGATACTGGGATCATGACAACAAGATGTACACACAGACTTACTGGCATTGGATACTGGGACCATGACAACAAGATGTACACACAGACTTACTGGCATTGGATACTGGGACCATGACAACAAGATGTACACACAGACTTACTGGCATTGGATACTGGGACCATGACAACAAGATGTACACACAGACTTACTGGCATTGGATACTGGGATCATGACAACAAGATGTACACACAGACTTACTGGCATTGGATACTGGGACCATGACAACAAGATGTACACACAGACTTACTGGCATTGGATACTGGGACCATGACAACAAGATGTACACACAGACTTACTGGCATTGGATACTGGGATCATGACAACAAGATGTACACACAGACTTACTGGCATTGGATACTGGGACCATGACAACAAGATGTACACACAGACTTACTGGCATTGGATACTGGGACCATGACAACAAGATGTACACACAGACTTACTGGCATTGGATACTGGGACCATGACAACAAGATGTACACACAGACTTACTGGCATTGGATACTGGGATCATGACAACAAGATGTACACACAGACTTACTGGCATTGGATACTGGGACCATGACAACAAGATGTACACACAGACTTACTGGCATTGGATACTGGGATCATGACAACAAGATGTACACACAGACTTACTGGCATTGGATACTGGGACCAACGAGAGACTAGTCAGCAGAAGCACAATCACGCTCATACGGCAGATGGTAGTTCTACTGGAAGTAGGCTGGGTTCTACTGCAAGCAGGCAAAGTTCTGCCGTTAGAAGATCTGACATGAATGTGTGTAGACATGACTTGCATTTTTCTCTTTGATGTGACTCTCCTGAAAAATAAAAAAATTGTGTTTTTAGTGCGCACAGCATTTGTAGCGCATATTTTAAGCTAATCTGACATCAAATCAAATTTTAATTTTACTAATTAGCGACATCCGCTATTTTAAAAACCGAGCTATCAATCGCTAGAAAACTTCAAATGACTTGAAAACACAAGTTTTGACTGAGCGCAATTTTAATGAGCTGAAGTAAGGGAGATAAAATTAAAACATTCAATTAAATCCATGTGATGCTCCGAAGGGCCGCAATCCCCGAATTTTCAATTTCTGTTCATTAGATCTAAATTTGTTGTCAGAACACATTTAATTGGTCCACATAATATATAAAAACACTCGATTGACCTGTGATTCGATTGTCTGCAGGCGCCTAATTAGTCTCTTGTAGAACGTAACAATCGATCTCTCAATATTTTGATTGGTTTTGTAGTCTGAGACTCAGGCGTGCGTAGGTAAAATGCCATGCGATCATGTACGATGTCAGTATCAGCATAACAGTGTATCGAATCATCAATATCAATATTCAAAGTTTACTAATTATGTTTTAACTAGACAAAGGTTTGAGTCTTACCATAAAAAATAAAGCAATAAAACGATAGAGTCAAGTCGGTTGAGATTCGTGTTTCATGTTTTCTAAAGAAATGCTCGTAAACACTTCCTTCAACCAAGCAAGCCACAACATTCACTACTTCATGAGGTCACAGATTGAAAGATAATATAGTTCCCACAGGAATTATATTTTTTAAAAGTTTTTTTAGTTGCAGTAGGGGGGGGGGGGGTAAGTTGGGGCCTGACTAAGTTAGCTGCAAATTTCAGAACCTGACGTGTGAAACATTAAGAGAACAATTTCTCGATTTATATCCTTTAGCGCCCAGACGCTATATATCCCTCCCTGATCGTTAAAGTTTATGGGCGCAGGTTGACAATGCTTCGACGTGTGACGTTCTGAGTGTGACGTTCTCAGTGTGACGTTCTCAGTGTGACGAATACTCGCGCCACCCGATCGGCTTACGCCTGGCCTTGACCTTGAAAAAAATCACGCCACAATTTCCCCTGTCAAAGGTGTATGGCTGTGTATGTTAAGCGTTCATATGTCAATTATGGTGGACCATTTAGAAACGACAACGAAATAATGCACATGGATTCGATAATAAATGTTTTAAGGTATCCTTAAGATACAAAAAGTCCACTCTATCCCCCCCCCTCCACACCTCTCCTGGCAACGCCGCAGGTTTAAGTTTTGAAGCCTGATGTACTCAGACTTTGTTACATAACCGATGTTTTCATTGAGCTTTAAAAAAAATTTCGCTGGATTTAGTGTGATTCATTTTTTTAAACAAAATGAAAATATTTTTTTTTTAAAGAAACCAGGAGATAAAATATGTCAATTACAAAAATATTAATTTTCGTGTGATAGTTTGGTAATAATCATTTACCGACATCTTGAATTACACAATGTGCGATGTAGATAAAAAAAATTGTTTCGTTTATATCTATATAGGTATGTAAAATCAAGTAAGTAGTTCCTTATTAGTATAAAAAAGCGTACTGATTTTTTTTTGGGAAGGTTCTAGAGAGTTGTAAATCTTGAGACCACTTCAGGCATTTCCACAACTTTATGGAATGTTACCCAAGTCAAGCACAACGGAAAACAAATGCCAATGTTTGAAGCATTCCTAGTGATTGATTTTATACTGCTTGAACTGAAAAATCAGGTTGTGTGGTAGAAGGTGTCAGTGTGTGTGTATGTGTGTGTGTGTGTGTGTGTATGTGTGTGTGGGTGGAAGTGTTGGTATACCTTCTAGTTAGGGCAGAGTACGCTGCACAGTATGGGAGAGTTTATGATCTGTGTAAATATAACATAATGGGGGTATGTAGTAAAGGGAATAGCACTTAAAACGTGTAATGGTATGTTAGATATCTTAATCTGTGCATGAAGGTGTGGAAAGAAACAGCGGGGAAGGGGGGGGGGGGAGGGGGCAATCTAGACAGGGAAATCATTGAGTACGTAAAGCAGATAGCTGAACACAGACGGACACATACGATAGTTGGACACTAGACGACACACACAACTAGATAGATGGACACTGACCACATACGATAGCTGGACACTGACCGACACATACGATAGCTGGTCACTGACGGACACATACGATAACTGGACACTGACGGACACATACGATAGCTGGACACTGACGGTCACATACGATAGCTGGACACTGACCGACACATACGATAGCTGGTCACTGACGGACACATACGATAACTGGACACTGACGGACACATACGATAACTGGACACTGACGGACACATACGATAGCTGGACACTGACGGACACATACGTTAGCTGGACACTGACCAACACATACGATAGCCAGACACTGACGGACACATACGTTAGCTGGACACTGACCAACACATACGATAGATGGACACTGACCAACACATACGATAGCTGGACACTGACCAACACATACGATAGCTGGACACTGACCACATACGATAGCCAGACACTGACGGACACATACGATAGCTGGACACTGACGGACACATACGATAGCTGGACACTGACCACATACGATAGCTGGACACTGACGGACACATACGATAGCTGGACACTGACTGACACATACGATAGCTGGACACTGACTGACACATACGATAGCCAGACACTGACGGACACATACGATAGCTGGACACTGACGGACACATACGATAGCTGGACACTGACCACATACGATAGCTGGACACTGACGGACACATACGATAGCTGGACACTGACGGACACATACGATAGCTGGTCACTGACCGACACATACGAGCAGACAAGCGAACACTGACATATTCACACAACTCGCAGTTTGAGTATGAAGACAGGAACATGAAATACAAACATAAGGAAGCACCGCCACATACAAAAATCAAAACTAGATAGCTAACATACACTACTGTAACAAAACATCCGACAGTGGGGCGTTATATTGGAACCGTTTGCATGTGAATATGTACCCATTGTATAAACGATCGACATCTATCCTAGAACACAGACCCTTGCTTTGTCAGTTCTCTCGTCTGAAGTTGGCATTAAAAAATTTTGAAGTCTTTCTGGAACAGACAGGTAAGGTTAAACCACCCGGGGTCAAGTCTAACATAAACCTGTCAGGTTAAACCAGAGCTTTTCTCAGACACATGCAGGTGAATAACATCTTAAAGCTTGTTTAGTTCACCTTTGATATTGATACATATGGATTCTTTTTGTAGTGGATCGGTAGGATGTGGGTGAAACTGCTCGAAAATTAACACCAAAAATTTAGCCCGTCGGTTGTATTCGACGTCTGTTATGTAGAGTGTGTGACACAAATGTTACGTAGAGTGTATGACATAAATGTTAAATAGAGTGTGACACAAATGTTACGTAGAGTGTGTGACACAAATGTTACGTAGAGTGTGTGACATAAATGTTAAATAGAGTGTGACACAAATGTTACGTAGAGTGTGTGACACAAATGTTACGTTGAGTGTGTGACATAAATGTTATATAGAGTGTGACACAAATGTTACGTAGAGTGTGTGACACAAATGTTACGTAGAGTGTGTGACATAAATGTTATATAGAGTGTGACACAAATGTTATGTAGAGTGTGTGTGTGTTATGTAGAGTGTGTGACACACATGTTATATAGAGTGTGACACAAATGTTACGTAGAGTGTGTGACATAAATGTTATATAGAGTGTGACACAAATGTTATGTAGAGTGTGTGTGTGTGTTATGTAGAGTGTGTGACACACATGTTAAGTAGAGCGTGAAAATAATGTTAATTAGATTGTGACACAAATGTTTTGTAATCTAATATTATGTGAAGTTTTTCAATCCAAATGTTTTTTTAGTAAAATGTTTCGTCAATTTGTTACCTTGTAATTTAACAATCTAATTTTACGTGTAAGTATTTAAATCAATCAACTAAAACTTGAAACGCAATGTTTTCAGATACATTGTTTGTTTTAAAAAAAAATTTGATGAATTCTGAGACATTATGGTCTAATTCACCATAAATATTCCCCCGTTTTAAAAAACCTTACACAGAATTTAACGACAACCTACGCCCACGATTGCAATACATACTTAAGAATTGAGCACATGAGAGAACTATATCGTATAGAGCTAAATTGTTTTTAACAAGTCAGTGTCAATTATTCTAAAAACAACTGATCCGAGCGATCGTTCTTGTGTTTCAATTATCATGTAAATAGTACAGGCTAGCTTTATTTATATGACTGCATACTGACACTGACGTGCAGGCTATATACAGGTATAATACAGGCTAGCTTTATTTATATGACTGCATACTGACACTGACGTGCAGGCTATATACAGGTCTACTAAAGGCTAGCTTTATTTATATGACTGCATACTGACACTGACGTGCAGGCTATATACAGATCTACTACAGGCTAGCTTTATTTACATGACTGTATTGACAGGCAGGCAATATACAGGTCTACTACAGGCTAGCTTTATTTATATGACTGCACTGACAAGCAGGCTATATACAGATCTACTACAGGCTAGCTTTATTTACATGACTGTATTGACAGGCAGGCTATATACAGGTCTACTACAGGCTAGCTTTATTTATATGACTGTTTTGACAGGCAGGCTATATACAGGTCTACTACAGGCTAGCTTTATTTATATGACTATATGCCGACACTGACAGGCAGGCAATATACAGGTCTACTACAGGCTAGCTTTATTTATATGACTGTATTGACAGGCAGGCTATATACAGGTCTACTACAGGCTAGTTATTTATATGACTGCACTGACAGGCAGGCTATATACAGGTCTACTACAGGCTAGTTATTTATATGACTGCATGCCGACACTGACAGGCAGGCTATATACAGGTCTACTACAGGCTAGCTTCATTTATATGACTGCAGTGACGCGCAGGCTATGTACAGATCTACTACAGGCTAGCTTTATACCACG